CAAGGAACTGTGTACGGCAATTTTGAACCCGTGGCTAGCAGGCAGAAATATCCAGCTTAAAAGGACTCACTGTCCACATGCTTTGTTACTCACCTCCGTGGAGCAGATCAAATTAATTAAACGAGTCCACGCCTACTTAAGAGACTATATGAACGCCTACTATCTTGACTAGAAAAGCTGGGTTAAAGAAGATCGGCAGGAAGACTTTAGACATTGACCCTTTTGAAAATGTCGATGAACCCTTCTAGGTAGTCATTTGCTTATAAAAATAACGTTCCATATCAAATATTTGTTTCTAACTCCTCACTCCGTTTTGTTCATTGGATCTGTGAGACTTTCGTTCACGTTGAGAAATTTGCAGCACTTTCTTGTTATCAGCCGGTAGAGTTTATAGAGGTAGAATAATGGCTCCTAGTCGGTCGTAAGATATAAACAAATTCTTACATTTCCTAGTGACGCGTGAACCAACTTATAATAACCGGCTCGAGTGCATGCGGCTCAACAGACTAATCCAACTGTTATTCGTGTCGATGACTAAGTTGTTTTCCAAATGCTACGCACTGTCAAGAAATCAAGGTAAATTACTAAGAAGTTCCTACATCCTTTATATAGTTTCAATGATCTAGTCTAAGGAGTTGTTCTGGAGCCTGTTATACTGATAGGGTTGATAAACCAGACACTTTGGAAGAAAAAGGTTGGCCCGTTTTTTATTTTGCAAAGTCCTAATTTACTGAAAATTGAGTTTGATAACAATGATCCCTATTGAACATCCGAGTTCCAATTATGTCAGTGGTAAAACATTCTCAGATATGACGTGTTTTATTTTAGAATGTCATCGGAGCCCTCCTGATCCAAAGGTTGTTTGCGCTGTTAAGGAAACTATATTTTATGTGTTTTTATGATGGTTCGTAAAGTCATTTTTAGGCTGTATATTTCGATATTAGCATATTCGTCTCATCAAACATGGTGGTTTATATTACGGAATTACTCTTCTCCACTTAATCTTTTATTAGTCTCAAGCACAGGCAAAAAACCAAAGATGAAGACATTCTTATGGGAAAGAACGTCTTATCACAGAATACTCCCAACGCAACGCTCTCATTAATTACTACCACAACTGTGTGAGAATGATGCAGTCGGCCTTAAAGTGCATTTACTCGACAGTTTGACTGCCTAGAAAGTATAGTGGCTGTCCAGAGCATGCCAGAGTTTCATCCTAAAATGGAAACTCTAGATCGAAGATAGTTTAATTTGCGGGGTTTCTGGCACTGAGTTTTAGTGCGTCCAGGTACCGCTGAACACACCAGGATCTTTTCTGAAAGGCCGTAGTCCTCGTCATTTCTCGCCTTCTGGAGTCTGTTCTAGTTAGGAACGAAAGTCACATTGATTTTCTGCATCAGCATGAGTGCCCGTAGACTAAACTAAATGGAATTCTTCGCTGTTGGCATGTGACGGCAGGCATTTTAAAACGCAAAACTTAGGCTACGAAGTATGTGTAGTTTCCCTCTTCCAATGTGACCTAAAAGAAATCTGTCCAACAAGTAGGCATTACCGTTGACCGGAAACAGTTTCCACTGCAGTGCAGCAGACGCTTTGTGGTACGGTATGGTCAAATTGTCTTCCCTTGCCCAAAAATAGTTGCTTCTCTCACGTTTTCGAATTAATTCTCCTTTTGCTTAGTGCTGGGGGCAAATAAGCATGCTAATCTATTTACTTGTGTTAATGGGACTGTTGACAGGCCATATTTCAAATTTTTGAGTTGGAATTTCAAAATAATTTAACCGGATCCATTTTAATTGGAGTCATACTAGTGATGATGATGCTGCTGCTGCTGCTGCTGCTGATGCTGATGATGATGATGATGATGATGATGATGATGATGATGACGATGATGATGATGATGATGATGGTGATGATGATGATGATGATGATGATGATGATGATGTCCGAATTTCATTCCTCACAAAGCAGTTTAAGTTCATGTTATTTTGTAAAACTGTTCAATATACTCTTTGCTTCTGTAGGACACTTTATCAATCGTATTGGGAACTTCAAAAACAGTCAAACGCCTTTATCAAACTGCGAGACAACATACCATAGTAAACTTTAGGATGCTTCTAGTGAAAGACTAGTGTAAAAGCCGGATAAAGAAAGATGGCGTTAAGCATTCTCATTTTCAACCTAAAACACCGTTCCTTGACGTCAATCTCAACCGTGCTTGTTTTATTTCAGCTTCGCTTAGCCTCCCTTTACACAAGGCAGTTCATGACACGTCAATTTACTTTAGAAGAAAAATTAGCTCGGGCACGAATATGTGTACCCCCGAGGCTAACTACTGAGGAAGGCCACCGGTAATACGGGAAAAAAACGGCGTGCCCTTAAATATATAAAAGCAAAAAGACACTATGTAGGGAGATAG